CACATAGCCGCGTATGGAGCCGTATATTTGCGTAGCGTATATATGCGCAAAAACAGAATGGAACAGATGCGTCAGGGCAGCGTATTTCTGCGTATTTACGCGCACATGCGCATGTTTACGCGCATATACGCGCGTACATGCGTACAGCACATTAGAAATTCCATTATGAGTGATGCATTCTGGGATTGCATATAGTGCACACATATACGCTCGTATATATGTCCTGCTACTTGTCCGTAGCAGGGCTAAAACAGTGCAAAAACCACTTACCCGGAACTACATGTCCCGGGCGTCGGGCGATACGAATTCCACAACCCTGTATGCGCATAGACGCTCGTATATACGCAATATACAATTTTGCTTGCGTTGTGTGTGAATGAGGCCTAAGACAATGATGAGGCAAGGAGTGTCTGCATAGGTACTTTTCTTTCTGTTCAACATGTGCATAATTGGTAAAGACATCGACCCCAAAGTAGAGTAACCCTTAATAACGCTGCATTTGAACAACCACCTAACCTAACAGAAATTTGAAATTGCATTAAGGTTACATGGCCAGTTCAAATGCAAACAGTTCTTAGCTAACTCATTCTAAAGGGCATTGTTGGACAATAAATATTGGTGCAATTTATGCAATAAGAACACAGCAATTAAAATGTGTTTTTTAGTACAGTGGAGAAAGATTAGAAACTGAGGTTTTTATTGTAGTCTGTATCTGTTGCATTAAACCCCACTGCTGTTACTGGGTGTTACTGGGATAGGAAGTGGAACGAAACCTCCCTAATGGAATCGCATACAGCAGTAAAAATCTAATCTATTAAAATCTTTAAAAAAATTGCAACTGGAGTTGGGCTTTAAATGTAAAAGTCCTGCAAGCAACATTTTGGTGCAGTTTGACTTTCTGCCACAGTGATGATTAGAAGTTAATGTAAAATGTATGTATGCATTAAAATGCAGGCAGTATCTTCACCCCCTAAGAGATAACAAAGATAAGTGGAAATGTCAAAACATGATAACAATGCACTTAAAGTGGATAATTAAACCACATGCTTTTTTTTTCCCTTAACAAGCAGCAATGTGGACAGGCTCTTACTGTAAAAAGGTAATTCCTGCAATGCTGATTATGCCCTGCTTATCCAAGTCATTGTGCTAGAAAAAACTGGTAGTTCATGGATTATGTTTCCCACAGCTAAAGCTGACAACCATGCAATGATTTCAAAGTTAAAAGAGGAGAACTATGGGGTTCTATATGTTTTGGGGGGGGGGGGCGATGACTGACAGTCACTGTGCTCTGCAGGGAGATGATCGGGAAAGTGAGCAAGGAGATAATTGGGAAGTGCGTGAGCGCTGGTATGTTTTCACTTGCTTCCCTGATCAACCGAGCCGACCTGTGATAGTTTCAATGTCACACATCGGCCCGAACTATAAGATGGGAGTAATTCACTCACCCCATAGTTCTCTTTTAAAGGTTTTAAAGTGGACCTGTCAAGAGATCAACTTGTACAAACTGCTATAATTGGGTAACCATAGGCACCACAAGGTACAGTACATATCACTGCCTTAACCACTTGCCGTCCGCCCGTTGTAAAAAAAACGGACGGACGGCACTGCAGACGGCATTTTTTTTCTGCTCGCGCGCGCCCCCTAGCGGGCACGCACGGGCAGAAAAGACCCGACCAATGCAAACACCCGTTACCGGGTGTTTCACATATAGGCGATCAGCGGCTCCATAGCCCGCCGATCGTCTATATGTGCTCGTTTCCACCGCCCCGCCCGGGTTTTTTTTTTCCCTCCCCTGACCCCTCACCTTGAATCCCGGGATCCGCTACCCCATCTGCGGCCCGGGACCGGGGGAGGAGGACAGGAGATCAGCTCCTTGCTGATCTCCGTCCGGGCTGTGAATGCAGAAGTGATGTGTATTACATCACTTCCGCATTCACCTGTCAGTCATCTGGCTGCTATAGCCAGAGAAAAGAAGCTGATGAAGCAAAAGTAACATATAAAAAAGTAAAATAAAATAAAAGTCACATAAAAAAGGGGGGGGTTTCAGTACAGCGTTGCATGACGGAATAAATGTCAGTCAAAGTACCGCAGCGCTGAATACTGAAAAATGGCCTGGATGGAAAGGGGTTTAACACCGCGGATGTCAACTGGTTAAAGACGGGTGCCGGCTTTACAATAGAAGTGATTCTTGTTTCCCCCTGCCATGTGTTTACCAGGCTCCGCTGCCCCTCATGCTGGCCCAGGAGCAACATGCCAGGTGGCGGCGGGAAGCTGGTGAGAGCGGCAAACTTTCGTTCTATGGGACTGGGAACGACACAGACTGCATCACTTCCGTTCCCTGAGCGGTCATTGCTCGGCTCCTGTAGTTTAAAGTATAAAGGTGATACTGGGGGTCTTTTGCAACCCCAGTATCACCTTAAAGAGGACCTGTCACCACCAATATTCTATCATATGGGGGGGGGCTTGTAAGACTGCCAATAACTTGCCCTTACTGGCCACGAAGGCAGTCTCACTGGACAGTGGAATGGCAGTTAGAATGGTTGATCCATGAATCTGAGCATTTTGTTTATTGTAACTGGGTCTGCTGGGGAGAAACAATTAATCAAAAAGTAGACGGACGTTGACTGCATTTAACAGGAAAAAATTGATGTCGATGTCTAACACTGTAGACCATAATTCTCCAACAATCGCTGTAACAATATCAGTTTATGACATATGTTGAATCAGCAACTTAATAGTTGCTTGTCAGTTAATCATAGGCCCATTTTAAGATTGTCATTCAAAACATTCATACATAGAAACAACTAAAGGCTAAAATGCTGCGCTAATGAGAATACACAAAAAGATGCAAAGGACTGGAGACTTTATATTCTAACACATGATTTTTATATTTAGAAATGCATAAAATCAATGTGAGTTGCATAGCACGACTGCTACAGAATAAAAGGAAAGACTACAGGGCCAGTCAAGACATTTTGTACCGTTTTCTTTTTGGTCGTCATTAATAGTAAAGTCGTCATTTAGCATATTTAAGGTCTTCTATTTACACATCCTAAAAGTAAAATGAACTACAAAAGCCACAAGAATGAATGGAAGGACAAACTGAATAGCAAAGTCGCTTCACTTATTTTACATGAGTGAGAGTCAAAGCAGAACTAATGCTGCCCTGTTCCAGTGATGGGATGTCCAGAAGGTCCCTTGCCAACACAGACACCTTAGTCCAATTACACTGGCTTGCCTGGCATGACATAGCTTTCACAGAATGCCGAGAAAGTACATTGCATCTAAAGAAGTCTGCAAACAGGGAAAAAAGATTTTTTTGCATTAGAGACATTGTACATCTCTGCTGCAATGAAAAGCATTCCCGCTCACAGTTTTTTTTAAGAGCCAAAAGTTCCCCTTTAACCTAATCTAAAGCTGGGGCAGGCATAACAGGTGTTCTATCAAAGTTTGTGACTGCGTTAAAATGTGGGACCGGTGACGTGGTCACACATTTTAACGTAATCCCGCCCAGTTTTTCGGCAGTGGAATATGTTACCGGCAAAAGGTGCAGAATTCAGAAGCTTTCTCAGCTGTTCCAGGGCAGATCGGCATCGCAGATTGTATGTGCAGGAGAACCGATTTGTCCTGGAACAGCTGATCGGTCCTGAAATGTCACTTCCATCGGACTGTGTGAGTTCGATCTCACATTCCACAAAGTCAGATACAAGTGACAGTTCAGGACCGATCAGCTGTTTGAGGACAGATCGGTTCTCGTGCACATACGATCTGCGATGCCGATCTGCCCTGGAACAGCTGAGAAAGCGTTTGAATTCGTCACCTTTTGAATGTTACACATTCCACCGCCAGAAAATGGGTGTGATTACGTTAAAATATGTGACCACGTGACCGGTCACACATTCCAACCTAGTCACAAAGTTTGATAGAACACAAGCAGATCTTGAGTTTTTTCACTTCTTTTTAAAGGAATTCCATATTTGTGTTCTGCAGCCTAATCAATACCTGCACAACATAATCAATTATCCAAGCTCTTAAAAGTAGATCACCAAAACATTTACGGCTAGTGAGGCCTGAGCACAAGTGACAAATGTCAAGATCCCAAGTAACTACAAAATATACAGTATGGGCCAAGCGCTATAAAACCCAACACTTGTAAAGTAAACATGTGGTATTTTTGTAACCTGTTATTGCTAATTATATATCTAAAGGATCACACTCTTTGGAAGTCATCTTTATCCTATCTTCTCTACTTAGTCCAGCCTCCCCAGTCCAGCCTCCCCATGGAGCAAATGTCTGAGACAGGAAGATAAAGGTTTGCAGACTTCACTGGTTGCATGGTTGCTCCAGGTCAGTGACTCAGTAGGTAGCAAAGCACGGATCACCTTAAAAAAACTAGGGGCTTGCACCTTTTAAAAACACACAAAAAAATGTCAGCTCCTATATTTCCATCATCCCAGGTTCACAGGCGCCAGGAAATACCAGGTTAAAATGATAACATAAATGGTCCAAAAGTAAATTACAGGCCTCAGAGAGTGCCTCAGCAAAAATGAAACTCCTATTGCACACTTCTGAGAAACACAGAGAGCCAATCACACAAGCAAGAAAGAAAACATACTGGGGGTATTCTCTGTACCAAAGGTGTATGGAATGTCTATAGGTTGCAATACATAAGGAAGCTTGATTTTAATATTTTGATAGCTTAAAAAGCTTTGACAGCTTTAAAAAAAAAAAAAAATAGGAGTAGCAGCAAAGTGAAATGGGGAGGTCATTTTAATAACAATAAATTACAAAATGGCTTACCAATTGGATTTTTTTTTTCCAAAAGTGGTGTTGTCTTAAGTTTCCTTGGAAAAATTTAACCTTTTCAAAGCAAGCTAACTTTGTAATTATCTTTCAAAAAGAAACTGTGATGCCGCTTCCTCTTAAGTGCTCAACAAGCATTATCAGGCATCAAGCATTATATATATTACACTATACAAGAGAAAATATTCCAGTCTCACCGAGTTCACCAGCTGCATTGCGACCGCCGACTGCATACAGATGACCTTTCAGGGCACTTAGGTGGAAAAAGGTACGTTTTTCATTCAAAGAAGCCACTTGCATCCACTTGTTGTATCGTGGGTCAAATCGAAACACAGTATCCACAGCGGTTTTTCCTTTTGTGTCATAATTACTTTGGCCACCGACCACATACAGAAAATTGCCAATGACGGCTATTCCATGCTGGTAACGGGGAGCATCCATGGGAGCTAAAGATTTCCACTCATGTCCTTTCTCGTCGTACATCCGCAGCTCTTTGCTAACCACCAGCTGCTGCCTTAAAACTCCCCCCAACGTCACCAAGTGGGTGTTATCTGAGCGGATGGCAGTTCTTTCAGACTGCATGACTGGTTGCATGTACGGCATCATTTGGTAATTGCTTGCTTCCAAAAGTAAATTAACACAAGTATTGTCAGTTCTCATGAAGTCAACAGTTTGTATGTGATTGATAAGGTCTTGTGGCGACATGAGGGGAAATCTGATGTTCTTCATTATTTTTGCAGCATATTCCATACGCGAATCTTCGTAACGCAGCCAACGGCAGGCTGCTTTGAAAAGTTCAAGCTCGCTACAATGCTTAAGGCTATTACTAGAGAGCACAAAGGCAAGTCGTTCATATGGGAGCTTCACAAACTCCCCAGTAGTTAATAAGGGTGGGAAATTTTTCAAAATAAAGTTATTGACATATTTATCAACTTCAGTGAGATTGTAGGTGTTTGCAATGCGTCCAATCTCTACGCAGTTGTCCAGAGTGACCTAAAATGAAGAAAGGACATTTTACAAGTGAGAAGATAGCATATAACGAAGGCCGGCCAATATGTCCCACACAAAAATACATTTTCAGATAAAGAAATACTAACATGTACAGTACAATGTACACATCTTTTGAGAAGCATACAGAATCAGGTTGTGAAGGGTTGCACATAATTGAATGGGTGGTTGAGATGCAATGTTTCCTAGACATCAGTAGTTTATAGACTGAATTTAAATTTTGCCTTGAACTGGTCTCATCTAATCATATTGCCAAAAAGTGTTTGAACAGAAGAAGAAGTAGAGGGAAGTTGCATCATATTTATAGTGAGCACATATTTTGAGTATTTTACGTGACTGATCTTTTTACATGCTTGCACTTCCATATTTTTTGTTATCGTATTGCATTTCTAAAATACCCACTAGAGGGAGCTCTGTATTAACCGGCCCTATTCAACCTGCCTGCTGACACATCAGCTACACATGACTGACTCGCTTGTATTTTGTTATGAAGTAGGAAGGTGTAACCATTTTGTAGACCAGGGGTAGCCCAACCTCAGCACTCCAGCTGTGGGGAAACTATAAATCATATCTTACCTCTGCGAATCATACCTGAGGCTGTCAGAATCTGAGTCAATGAAAAGAGTTGTCCCATGGCGGGGGCATGGTCAATACTCAGTGTGCTGCTTCTCGTTTGTGCAGACCTGGGTGTCCCTCGTTTGTCACAGAAAAACAGAAAGTAGGGCCACCCTTGCCATGACACTTATGCCACCTCACCATTCATAATCCACCCATCAGGCCCTCACTCTACGTGGACCCCCATCTCCAGACAGGTTTCTACTTGTGGCGCTTCCTCCCCTACTTTCGGTTTTTCAGAATCTGAGTCAGTCAGACTCATGGGATTTGTAGTTTCTCCACAGCTGAAGTGGCAAGCTTGCCTACCCCTGATGCAGACTGTAAAGCAGAGTGAGAATATATGGTTGCCCCCTCCCAATCCCCATCTACATACACAATTACAAACTATATACAACATGTATTGTTTTAAGCATACATTGGGAACATAATTTGCATCAAGCTGACATAACTGCATACATCCAAAAATTATTAAATTAAAAAAAAAAAAAAAACTTCTGTGTAACGCAGCCACAGTTGATACACTGACATGTCTGAAACATGCTGGGTACTGTTCACTTTCCTTTGCTTACCCATCTACAGCTCTTCTTCCTGGCACAACCATTTTACATCTTAAACAAGAAAATAATTCCAAACTGCTGCAGTAAGTTGTACCCATATAAATGTAACATTTCCCATACTAAATATTGTATTCCTGTGTATGCTTTTGATCGCTTTGAATTCCTGTATACTATGAACTACATACTCCAATAAACTGGCTAACCTAAAACAAATATATTAGAAAGGTGGAAAAATACACTGAGCTTGTCACTACAACATTCAATTATCTTCCATGTATTTTACTACCAGCCGGAACTGATAAACGCCTTTGCTTTTACCAAACCAATCTTTCCAGGTCAATGTCCCATGTACATCGAGAACATAAAATTGACAAATCAAGCATTGTGCAATAAAATGCACATTTACAAGCAGCAGTCAATGAACTGAATCAATTCAGACATCAACCCGTGTAAAAGACATACTATGGACAACTATTGAAGCCATTTCCCACACAAACACACTTGTAAACATACACAAATGTGTTTGTGTATAGAGTTCTGTGCAGGTCAAAATGAATTTGGTACAAAAGGGGTTTATTAGTGTTATTAATCCATTTAGTAGTTAAAGGAGAACTATGTGGTAAGTGTTTTTCCCCATAGTTCTCCTAAGGGTCAGGGGAGGACACAAACTAGCGTCCTCCCTTGACCCACAGCTCAGTATATCGTGAGCTACAGCTCACAGTATACTGAGACCGCCGCAGCCGGGACAGACCCCGTCATTACTGTCGAGATCCACCCAGCTGCGGGATTGACAGCTGACTCTGCCTATCTAGAGGCAAAGCCAGCTGTACCCGCCCCTTCCCGTGCGTTCCACCAGCCAGCTCTAGAGGATCGGACAGGGGAGGTGGGGGAATCCCTGCAGGGAGCCGTGAGTGACAGTCACTGCAGGGACATAATCGAGAAGTGAGCGAGCGACGATAGTCCCCTAGCATGTTAACCAAGCTGATAGTCCCCTAGCATGTTAACCACTTTGCTACACAGGAACTGTCCTGTAAGTGGTGGCTCTGAAGTTGCTGAAACAAGCTCACATCTTGTCACAATTTCTTTTACGGGACTCGAAAAAAAAAAAAGTTACACACACACACACACACACACACACACACGTAAAACAATAATTCAACATATATAGGGTATTACCACGCATGCAGGAATGAGAGAAATAATTCAACGTCCCTCATTTACATTTAACACTAAAGTGATAAACTGTGAAGGCATTTAAACCGTTGCCTTTCGATATTTGGACATGGTATGGTAAATTTTAGTGCACTTGCTCCAGTTGCAAACTGGTGAATGGGTCATCACTGCACATGAGGAATGGAAAGGAAGGGGTGGGTAAAGAAGAGAGGGATAAGGGGGGGCAACTACTCTCCTCACATCTCAGAGGGAGGGAGCTGGCAGACAACTTCTTACAACACATGTATGATCAGATAGTCTATAGTGCCTACTATTTATTGCCATCATAGGGTTACTTGGTCAATGATTCCTGGCGGGATTAGTGGCACTGCTCAGATTTGCAGCACAGGTAAATTTGGGGTTTCCTCTAAAGCTGGCCATACACCTTACAATTATCTGCAGATTTTCAGTGGTCAGATGGAAAAGGTGCAACAGATTCCTCCATCTACACTTAACTGTGTGGATGGAGTAATCTCCACCTGAGCCAATCTGTTGCACTTTTTCCATCTGACCACAGAAAATCTGCAGATAATTGTAAGGTGTATGGGCACCTTAAGACATGTACAATGATGGCTTAGGGCTTGTTCACACCAAATGTAGACCAGATCTGCATGAGTTTATGTAGTGCATTGTTTTGCTGCAATTCGGGCCTTTTTTTAATTAATGATTTTTTTTTTTTTTTTTATGATTTTTTTTTATCCGCCTAAAATGGGCTTTCAGTGCGTTCCAGGGAGTTTGCATGCATTTGATGCGATTGCATGCTTTTTGGTGCATTCCAGAGCAGAAGAATTAGGGCATGCTGCAGTTTTTCCACATGCTCTGGAACGGAACGTTCTGGTGTGAACTACAGCCCAAAATACCATTGGATGCAGGTTTGATGCATTCTGTAACTGTTCTGCGCTTGGTGTGAACTAGCCCTTAGGCTGCGTTCACACCTGACCGTTTTGTAGCGCGTCCTACGCTCGACGAACGCGCTACAAAACAGTCAAAAAAATAAATAGCATTGTAGTCAATGCCCTCGTTCCCACCTAGGCGTATTTCCGCCCGTCCCTAACGCCCTACAAAACGGCCCACGCCTGAAAAGGTCCCGGGACTACTTTGGGCCGTTTTGTAGGGCGTTTTCCATTGGGATACAGCCAAGTAGCCTTTGGAATCGCGCGACTTTTTTACCGCGAATCGCGGTAAAAAAAACGCGTGACAGACGCGCATATACAATACGCCTAGGTGTGAATGGGGCCTTAAAAGGTGATGCTAGGGAATAGTACCAATACTATTCACTTGTATCAACCTACATTCTGTAGCAGCACTGCACACAGCAGGTTGTGCATACTGATTATTTCATTGTAATCTATACAAAGAATCAGTGCAGCCCCATATACAGTGGTCATGTGGATGAAGCATGTTGCCCACTGATACCCATGCACTAACCCTAAGACATGGAAGTACATTTAAAATTTTATCTGTCAAATATTGCAATCACCTTACATTTAAAGTGACAATTATAATACAACCGATGACAGTTTCATACAGCCTATTGTGCAATATGATTAGAGGGGGGGGGAAAAAATCCACATCTGACAAAGATAAAAGAAAAAAAAAAATCAACATTAGATTGCTGAGGTAATTAACAAGGGAAAACAGGTTCCATTATTATGCAGACTTAATTACTCACTACTTTGTTGCCAACCTGCATATCAATTGTATTCAAGTTTATAGAATTTTGCCCCTCTGGAGGCAGCCAAAGGCTTTGCTGCATGTATTAAATCAGATGCAATCACAAACATTTCTGTACTAGGTAACATAACTCCTCCAGAAGGATGAACCTCAAAGAGAAGAAGTGATTCACAGAGTAAAGAAATTGGCATAGTAAAAAAAAAAAACGTCTATACAACAAAGCAAACACACATTGTGTAGTAAGAAGTTAACATGCCATGTTTTTGTATTCTCATGTTTGAGATGTCCAAAATAAAGAAAGGAAAATGTAAAATGAAAGCATTTATAATACAAACAAAAAAAAACCCCCAGTTCCACCCAGTAGTAAATTATAACGCTGCTAATAAAAGAATGTTTGATTTATGTTCATGTCAATAAAAAGGGCCACTAGATGCTGCTCCATTTTATGGCTGACCGTTAAACTGGACAGTAACGCAGAATCAGAACACACATCGAAGGGTGAAATGGTGATAGGAGCCAGCTTATCTACATAACTGCTTTTCTCCACATAATAAACCGTCAAGTCATAAGCTTTACGGACTTAAGAGGATCTAGAAAGGGCTAGGAAAATGTTAAACTTTCTCTCAAGTGATCTTCACTCCACTTACTGTAAAACTACATGCAATTACCGACTTACAGGTCAAACTAGGTAACATGCCACCCAAAATGCTGGGGGGGAATAAACCATGTCACTGCCAATCATTCGCCTTTCATACAAATAACATTATGACTTTAATTTTCTACTCTGATCGTAAGTTACCCACGTGCAGATAATGCCTTTCCTACAAGTTCCTTAACCCTCTTGGTGCTAGTAACCTAAGAACAGGAAGAACCTAAAATGTGTATGCAACATTCGCATGTGCTTCCTTTCACAAAAAGGGTGACTGCCCTTAGCATTAAAAAACGCATAGACTTACTCGCATCTCAAAAAAAATTGAATAAACTGAGGAAGCTCTTAAATATATAATTTATCCACACACACGCACACTTAGATCTGGAATAAGGTCTGGTTCCCACCAAGCGTTTTGTAGTTCTTTTTCTGCCTTAAAAAAAACGTCAAAAACAAAAATATGCCCCCAAAAAATCCCATTCATTTCTATAGCCCTGTTCACCTCACCTTTTGGCATATTACAGCTCGTTTTGGCCCCATGGACCCAGTAGGAAACGCTTGAAAACGCATGTTTGCTGTGTTTTTGCGCATTTGCTCATTAACATCAATGAGCTACAATCTGCTCACAAAAACGTGCAGTTTGATTTATGCGCATAAAATTGTGCTAAAAACCCCACAAAAACTAGCAGCGCAAAAATGCTGCCGCCTAGGAGTGAACCCAGCCTAAGTCTTTAGGTTCTTCCCAAACATGTAAATCAAATACATAATGTAATTCTCTAGCTGAGAGCTAATGTCTACATACGGGTCTGTCGTTTTGTTCCCCATACTGGACCTCTCCAAATTTAATTCACAAGCTGAATTGTGCTTGGCATGTGTTGGCTGAGACCGATCACAATAAATAATTACTGTGTTTGAGACTGTGGAGTGCAAAAAAAAATGTACAGTGACCATGTATTTGTAAAGACCCGTGTAAACACTAAGCTCTCTGCCCAACAAATTTAGCCTGCTGTTCCACATACAGTAAGTGTGTATACAACATTGATCTGAATGCAGAAAACAGAGATAGTGCTCTGCTCTTACCCCAGATATAAGAAACACTTTGCAGAAGTCCAGCACAGGCAGTATCTGTAAAAAGCTTGCAGCCTCCAGTGTATCTTGAAGATTTTCCATATTCAGGGAAAGTTTTGCAGTGTAAATGAAATCAATAATTTTCTTTAATCCAATTTTGTTCACGCCGTGTAATTTAATGCACATTAAGTCTTGTTCCTTCATTCCACCTAGACCAAGAAATCAGTCTCTATTTTAATTATCATTGAGATGCACACATTTTAAATAAATTGCACCACTTTGCAAGCCTTTTGTACACAGCTGACACTTGAATATGCATATGATGTTAAACAAAATTCTAGTGTTAATTATTCAGGGATTAAAAAGTTATGTGCTGTGTTCTTATGCAGAGCTTACAGTCATAGATTTGCAGGTGCAATAGTCATTTTTGCAAGCACTGTACATACTAAAAGGTGCTGAAAAGTGGCATTGTGTTCTGGCTAAATGTTACCCTGGAATTTAAGAACAGAGGCTGAGGATTTTACTCTGGGAGAACAGAGTGGGATAATTACCATCCCAGTTCAACAACACAATAAAATGACTACACAATGTAAAAGCTTTGGACCTAATTCTTCCAGGTTTCACCTAACGGGCAACCAGTCAGATTCTGTGTATAAGCCATCTGTATTGATTACAGGCTTTTATAGTGTTCAGGTCCTATCTGTCTATGCTCCGTGATCAGACAGGAGATGGGAGTGTGCTTCCTGCCATTAAGATTTATTGCATCATGGGATTAGTACTCCCAATGTGGACATCACTGCTTTAATGTCTTGCTGAACACACGGGATGCACCGATACTAGTATCGGTGCCGATACTGAGTATTTGGGCAAGTACTCGTCCCAAATGCTCCCGATAATTACCCCTATACCGAAACTTCCGGTATCAGGAAGCTGGGCAGTGAGTCATTACACACCACCCGGTTTCCCGATAAGCCGGGAAGCTAGCGCCATGCTCACTTGTCACCAGCGAGCATGGAGCCGGCTTCCCGGCCAATCAGGAACCAAGGCTGGCGTGTAATGACTCGTAATTGCACGGCGCCTGGCTTCCTGATTGGTCGGGAAGCTGGAAAGCGAGTCATTCCCTACCTCTCTGCTTCCAGATAGGACAGAAAGCCGGCTCCATGCTTCGTCACCTGGTGACGAGGGAGCATGGAGCAGGCGGCAAGTCATTACACTGCGCCCGGCTTCCTTAATGGGGCTTTCGGTATCGATGAGTACCGAAAAATTCTTTATCGGTACTCATACTCGATACTGGAAAATAGGGCTGCAACAACTAATCAACATAATCGATTATAATCGATTATTGAAAAAGTTGTCAACTTTTTCAATAATCGATTAATCGGCTTCTGATCAGTTGGCCCTGTTCACAGCTCCACACGCTGTGCACCGCACCTCCTCCCCACCTCACGCTCGCCGCTGCCAGACCCGCTCGCATCCACGCTCCACACGTCGCTCCTCCTCCCCGCCTCACATTTCCTGCCCATCCACATCCACGATCGGCACAGGGACGCGGGGAGATGTAGTAAAGAGGAGCAGGTGTGGGGGTATGGCAGCTGCTGATAGACAGGTCCGATCTCAGAAGCACGTTGCTGGAAGACTGCACTTTCCCACACATGGTGCTCTATAATGTATTGCTGGGATTTGTATTTCTCTATAGCTGATGGTACATTGTGCTGTATATTATACATAGGAATATACATCCAGCAATACATTATACACTGTATGTATAATGTATTGCTGGGATTTGTTGTACTCCTCTATAGCTGGTGATATTCTGCATTGCGCTGTATAGAGGACTACAAGTCCCAGCAATAATACATTATACAGCGCAATGCAGAATACCACCAGCTGTAGAGGAGTACAACAAATCCCAGCAATAATACATTATAAAGTGGTACAATGCTAAATACCACCAGCTATAGAGGACTACAAAACCCAGCAATAGTACATTATACAGCGCAATGCAGAATGCTGCCAGCTATAATGTAGTATTGCTGGGATTTGTTGTATTCCTCTATAGCTGGCGGTATTCTGCATTGTGAGGTATAATGTGCTTTTGCTGGGTTTTGTAGTCCTCTATAGCCGTTGCCATTCTGCATGCATTGCTGTATAATTTTACACTTTCCATTTCACTATATTGCACACCACACTATCTTTTTTTCTTTTTTACTTCCACCGGTCCAAGCTTGCTCCTGTGATGGACTACAACCTTAATACAAACTAGTAGTCCTATCACTGGAGCCATTTTTTAAACTTTATTTTATAGTTTATCCGATTAACCGATTAATCGAACTTAATAATCGGCTAACTAATCGATTTTGAAAATAATCGTTAGCTGCAGCTCTACTGGAAAACCAGTTTTAGTCCATCCCTACTAAACACTGTGGAAAGCATCTGATTAGCGTTATGTTCCAAAACATTCTACTGCACTCGGCAAAACAATCAAGCATATTATACATTAGGATTGTTGCTGTAGGGTACAACTGGACCGTGAAGGCCTTATGTTGAGGAGCTTTTGTTTGGTTTAAAGGGGTTTCCTATACAAGAAAGCAAAATTAGCTTGAAGCAAGTCAAATGCAGGTCATATGCAACAGTCAGCAACATCTGAATGATCTCAGAAGTGTCACAAACTGATGCCATCAACACAGGCCCAAAGCCTGTTGACAAAAGCCCTAAAAGCAGTGCATGGGAGGAAGTCTCCAGTTGGCAGACAAGTATAGCCAGAGGCAGTCGCAGAACGATCGTGCCACAAAAGCCTGTTTTAATTTTGCCTGACTAATTAAGAAGCCTCTCGCATCACAACTTTAAAAAAAATATTTTTCTGTTGAAGAGGTAAAATTGTTATCAATAGGAAAACAAGCAACAAGATGCCAAGTAACGTTTTTAAAGCCAAATGAAAATTTTTAAGTCAAAAGCAAAAATAAAAACAATGTGATACTGCAACACAGAGCTGCTTTTCTACAATCTACAAGTGAGGCCCATAAATTGGCAATGTCCACTTTACCGACAAAAGGTTTTCATAATTAATATAATGGAGGATTTTGATTTCTCACAAAATGACAAATTAATCTTCAACAAGGAAAAATAATAACTATTTACTTAAGACTGTATCTGGTCTGTACTAGAAAACAAATCCGCTTATAAAGCTGGTTGTATCAAGATTATAGTGTCCCAGGGCGCACTTTATCTGTGAGCTGTCTAATATTTAACTTGTACAACAACCTGGTGAAGTGTATTGTTGATAGATACAGAAAGATAAATTACCTGTAAACATGGCTTTGAAGTAATCGCTTGAGGAAGCCATCATGGCTCGGTGAACTGGAAAGATTTCATCGCCATCGCCTGGCACAAGTGTAACGTCACAGAGCAACCCTTCTATTCGTAACTGATCAAAACCCTGAAACACACGCAATGGAACAAGATAAATAAATCCTGGAGCAAAAAATGTAATTGGTATGATAGGAACAAAAGTGTAAATTATCTTTGATAAACTAAAATACCAACATATTTATAACCCTGTACAGCAAACACAGACACATTCAAAATGCTGACTCATAGGACAAGACGACACAAATGTTATGCATCAATCACAAGCACAATTCACGGTATGCTTGCGGATATTTGGAACTTTCTTCATCCTACCCATTCCATTTTTATGTAAGTATCTGCTAAGGGCACTGTCTGACTCAATACCTTAGAACTTTCACATTCAGAGATAGGATGCCAAGCAAAGGCTATAACAGTAAAGTAAATGCTACTTGTTCTTACTTTACGTGGATCACCACCAACTTCTGTAACCTGGTGCAGCTGATCTGAGGATCTATGCCATTTGGTTTACAGCCCTCTAGTTCATGTGAAGCTAATCTGGCAGTATAACACCTGACCTAATGCAAATCACAATTGTTGAATTTACATTGCATAAATACGATGGCTGTAAAAGAGATAAAACTTAAACTATAGTTTAAGAAATGCATGTCAGGATGGAAGGAAAGAAATAGAGATAGACAGGGACAGACAAATATCTAAAAAGGCATGTGGCTGAGGCAAAGAAAAACCCACAGGGAGTTTGGCAATATCTTTTAAGTGTATTTCCACTTTTGCAGCCAAAATTGAGAAACCCCCCACCATATGCTTGTTACGTGTACTTATTCACAGATTATCTAAAAAGAACGTTTAAAAAAAGATTTACCTTTTAGATGTGTTTGTGTTGTACTCAAGTTCAGTAACAGGGAACGCAGACTGTCCTAATAGAAAGACTTAGGACAGACTGAGTTCCCCCTCATTAACATACCAAGTATTTAACCCTTTGTTAGGACATATAGTTCTGTTCATCTAGTTTACAAGTAATAATGAAATCTGCCAGCATAGTACAGACAAACAGAACTTTCCCCAACCCCCCCCGAGACAGTGAGAACTAAGCAGACTTTTCAGTTCTGGAGTCAGCAGAGTTTCTAAAATAGGTAAGCTGCATTTCTTTTTTAATTTTTGTTATGCTATGTGAATGGGAACTTGTAACAAATATAAAATAAGCGTTATCCCAATTTGGAAATACACTTTGTTTGGCCTCCATGTAAGTGTGTAAATATGTCTGAACTAGGAAGACCCCAAGCAGTAATGTGCTGGCAATATAAAAATTTAAACTATTCTTAATATGTTCCAAGGGACCTCTTGTCAGTGCTCAACAATAGCACTTCATGCACAGGGTTCAATGAATACATTTCAAATAGCCACAGAACGCATGTGTTACCTACACCCCGGAGGACACCTGGAGATCAATTTTTTCAACATGCTAGAATGAGATGCATTTAAGGCTAGGTTCACACCTGCACTACATCGCACGACACCCGGAACGCGCGATCCTGCACAATGCAGGCAGTGATTGCTGCGCGGCCCCATTGATTTCAATGGGGTGACATCCGCACGGCAATCGCAGAAAAGGGTACGTTACTTTTTTTGCGACGCACAGCGTGTTCGGAAGCATGGGCAGAATCGCAACGGAAAACACGATCCGCCCCCGGCTCGACTGGTGTGCCATTAAAAAAGAATAGCACCCACAGCGCAATCAGTTAACACCTTGGCGACTCCTGAACGAGCGGCAATCCACGCAGAATTGGACACGATTGCCGCACGGTGAGATGTCGCCTAGGTTTGAACCTAGCCTAAAGCTCAGATGAACCACGTTTTTTTTTTTAATTCTTTCAATAGAAAGTTTAGCTGACTCTTAAAGTTGCTACTGCACTGCTGCCCCTAAATTATCAGTTTTATTTTTTCTTCAACAGTTCTGGTGTATGTGAAAGCTGCAAAATAAAAGTTTAAATTGATATTGCGTGCTATGGAGTAATGCATAAAGTTCTTATTTCAGACACCTAACTAGAGGTACAGTGTCCCCCCTGAAACTGTTAATCCCATTTCTTCTGGTTTTCTGGAACTAAACACAAAGCTGGTAAGAAGCAAAACAAGTAAAACCTATATATTAATGAATTCTAATGATTAATGTAAACCTTTGACAAAACAAATATTTGGGTTGCAATTCCTGGCCTTTTGCTGCTTTCTGCCTAGCTGTTACGCTAACCCTGGCTGCAAAGGAATAAAATGCTGCAATTGCACTCAAGGACTTATATGTTATACTACATTATTGTTCTTGAGTTTAGATATCCTTCAAGGATTAGAGCACTTACGAAGATAACCTACCTGTAACACCACTGAACTATGAGTATTGCTGGTGAAGAAGCGAGTTGTGCCCGTCTTTGAAGACTGAAGGTGAGCAGACACACCCATATCGGTGTTCCCAAGAGAGACTTTCAAATGAGGGTCCTCCTCTTCTACCAAAGATCTAAAATAAAATTGGAACACAACTAAACTTTTACACATAAAAAAATTACATAAAAATGTAAATTCAGAAATATAGCTCCATGCTATAAAAACGAGTA